GGCCCGAGCCGGAGCCCGAGAGTGGGGTCCGGCTGCAGAGCGAGGCCCGCGGCGCCGCAGCTCTGGGCCCAGCGGCGCGGCGGTGCTGAGGGCAGGGGGCCCGGGTCGAGGAGGGCGCGGGCCCGCAGGCTCGGGAGCTACGCAGACTGGCGCACCTCTCCTCGCCCGCTTCGGGAACGAGACCCCGGCCCTGACCCCGACGGAACTGGATGATTTCCTGGTGCAACACCAAGTCCCCGGAATTGAGCAGGACGTGCAGACGCAGGGCCCTGCCCCCAGGGGCTTGCAATCTCAGCCTCGTTCTCCTGCAGTAGTTAGGTCCGCTCTGCTGGTGCGTGCAACACACCCGCCCGACGTTAGACACTTCCTCGCAGGGTATCTAATCACCAGAGTTTAGTCAGCCCACGGTTTCTCTGTAACTCCCGTTGTGCTGTCGGTAAGTGCCTTATTCCATTCCGGAGTTTGGCCATCATTGAATATCCATTCTAAGGACCCATTACAGATGGTAGGTGGTATAGCGCCGTATACATATTTTAAAGGTTAAAGACTGATCCTATAATTGGGATGCTCAAATTCTCATGCCTGCTAAGAAAGGAGGGGTTGTAGTTTCAAACAAAGTTCTAAGTGCAGTGTTTTTCCAAGACCAAGACCCATTAGATTACAGAATCTGTATGGTGTATGGGTTATTACTGGGATTTACTGGTTTATTTATGTATGAGACAGGCTCAAAGTTGCTCAGGCTAGGCTCGAATTTGTGAGCCTCGTGCCTTAGCTTCACGGAGTGCTGTGATTACATGCATATGCCATCACAAGTCGCTTGGGCAAACGTTTTAAAACATTTAGAATATAAGTCTTTTTGTGATACAATGCAAAAGAATATAATAAAAAAGATAGCATGCATTGCACAAGGGTAAGCACTGTGTAATGGAACTGGTGTTTTTTTTTTTTTTTTTTTGTTTTGTTTTGTTTTGTTTTTTTCACCAGAAATCGAATTCAGGACCTCACACTTGCCAGGCAGGCGCTGTGCTGCCAAACTATGCCCCAACCCCGGTTTAACGAAACTTTTGCACTTATTTTATACAGCTTAACTTTCAAAACAGTGGTTCAGTGTCAAAAACTTATAGAACCCTCATTTACTGATTAGTAGTCTGGGCTTTGTAACCCGTTGAACCTACTTACTAGAAAAAGTCATGGAGATTCCCCAAGGCCACATATGTCCGTTCAAGCAATCCTGGACTTCCAGGAGGTGTCCAGTGTATGCTGATAATTGCAGTTGCTGTTGCTGCTTAAGCATCCAATCTTGGAAGCTAGTCATGGGACACTGTACTTTTTCTTTTTTCAGATCTTGATGTGGAGGAGATGGACAATTTTGAACCAAGGATTTCCAAGTGATTTCTTCCAAAGCATAGGAAACTAACTTGGTTAAGGCTGGTCTGCTCTAACTGAGGTATTTAAATGTTCTCCTTTAATCTCTCTTTAGTCTGTGAAATAAGAAATGGTTGTTTCTAAGGGACCATGGAACTCCCAAAGGATCTGTAACTCATGAGCATGATCTACCAGGTTTGGAGATTACAGAGTTTCCATGCCATCTGTTTATTGGGAATTCGTGATGTGTGTGCCCCCTTGCGGGCGTAGCGGGGGACTAGGGAGCAGGGGGACTAGGGAGCAGGGCTTCAGGTCAACTGGTTTCTCATTCTTGTTCTGCAGGGAGAGCGTTTATGTATGTCCTCATAGCTCTGTGGCTCTTCTGGGCTGGAAGGGCTCGCAGACATAGCTGATGCCCAGAGACCTTGAATGACTTTTCTAGACAGGACGGAAACGTGGGTCTCTGCTGCTCGGCCATGCAGACAGCTTCCACGCTTGCTGAGGGATGAACACTGCCACAGACCTAAAGAACCCACTCCGAGACACTCGAGGGTCTCAGAGACAAGTTCGACAGCCCAGCACAATAAGCTCTTTCCAGATGGTGATGATAACAACTATTCTTTGTCAAGCACCCATATCCGTTTGTGTGCCAGCCATTGTGCCAGAGCTTTTCAATGCACTGTCTTTATTTTTACGCCAAAGAAGTAAGGAAGAGTAGGTGTCCAAGGATCGAAGTGTCTTGACATTGGTAGCTGCTTGTAGATGGCTTTGTGTCTCATACGGCCATTCTATTTGTGAAGCACAGTGCTAGGATCACAGAGTTCAAAGCCAAGGGCGTGCCCCTGAGGAGCAGACAGCTGAACGTGCCCAAAGCTCACCTGAGCTCCTTTGCCTGGTTCTCTAGCGGTCATGGGGTCTCTAGCATCTGTCAGAGGAACAGACCACAGCAACAGATGTGTCAGAGTCCTTGCATCTCAATTCCGTTTTGTACTTATTCTAACATATACTTCATCTATTTATTAAAACTTTCAGTTTTAAGGCAAACAGTAGTAATGCCTTCTCTGAATTCGTTTTTTCTCTCAGCAAATGTTTATTGAGCTTTTATGAGGCACTTGGCTATTCAAACAGATTATGTTTTATGATATTATATGATATGTCAGTTATGATATTAGTCATATTTAGTCACTTAAAACATTTATTCAATTGTTAGTGATTTTCTGTTGTTAGTATACTGGCATAGCCTCTCCAAAGATGTTAGCAAGTGATACACATAATTATTATTATTATTATTATTATTATTTTGTTCTTTTTGAGACAGGGTCTCACTATGCAGTTCAAGCTGGCCTTGAGCTCACTTTGTAGCCCAGGCTGGTCTCAAACTTGCAATAATTCTCATGCCTCAATCTGCCGAGTGCTGGGATTACAGATATGTGCCACCATGGCTAGCTATATAACTTTTATACTTTTTTTTTTTTTGGCAGAACCAGGGATTGAACTCAGGCCCTTGAGCTTGCCAGGGAAGCGCTTACACCACTGAGCCATCTCCCCGACCCCCTACATAACTTTTAAAAATCTTAAAATTTTTAGAAAGGAATTTCTCACCTCTTTCTCCTAATTCTTCATTTTTTCCTTACTGTCACTTGCATATAAAGGCCCTTTTATATGTGTTCTTTATCCATAAGGAGAGGAAAGAGCAGTTTGGCAAGGAGATTTCTTTATAATATTTTTTTCTTATACCTGGTAGGCCAGAGGTCTTTGGGTATTCAAAAGTAAAGCAATTAAGTACAGTAAATATTTTGCTTGATTTATAAGATAGGTTAGAAAGAACTCCAAGAAGTACATTATGCAATAGAAATCAGATCGTAATAACTTAGGCCCCAAATAAAAGCAAATGAGATGTTGGATAGGAACATGCTTTGTAGACTTTAGGACATCTTATAAATGTTATGCAGCAAATGTTTATTGAGTACCTAGTGTGTGACACTGTGCTAGTGAAAAAGGAGATCTGGTGGCAAAAATTCCTGTCTACTCCCTTTGAACCATGTTGCATTGTTACAAAAAATATAGAAGTAACTGTGACAATTACAAAAAGAAGGTATTCTTATAATTTGAGGAAACAGTTGAAATATAAAGAATAGAAAGAAACTGAGAAAGAATGGGATATATTCACAGAAAAGCTGAGTTAGAACTGGTCTGTACAGGTAACAGAGCAGAGGGAATTAGGCTGGAGAACATTCAGTGCGGAACAGTAATCGTTTTGCGTGCCAACTAGGAAATCTGAATGTTATTAACCAGTAGGTTAAAGCTGTTTGAGCAGAGGAGTGTCGTGACTGTGCCTAAGAGCATGCTCCTACACTGAGGTAGTTTGGGGAGCTTGGGAGGGGAGGCAGGGAGACCAATTGCAGAGCTATCACTATCTGCCAAGGAAAAAGGGTGGGAGGGGAAGACCAGAGAGGGGCTGATAAGCCATTCAGAATAGCAGATAATGCAACAAGGGAAGGGGCAGAGCCAAGGGAAGAACTGACAGAGTCAAATGTCTCTGGAGGAGGAGGAGCCCAGGCTGCTGACTCGGAGCTTCCCAGAGCCTTGGTGCGTGGAAGAAACCTGGGGGTGGGGCTGGATTTGATCTGTTGGCTTAGGGTGTCTTCTAGACAGACGGGGTCTTGAGCTCCTCAGGAGGACAAGGGCTAGTTTGGAAATCGGTGTAGAAAAAAATGTTAAGAGGTAGAGGAATAATTTCTCGTAGAGAGTTTAGGGAGAAAAAAATGGAGGGTGCAGCTTTTTGAGAAAAGAAGCATCTAGGGAAGAGAGAAATCTGACAGGAGGGCAAGAAAGAGTCCTGGAGGTACACACATCTAGAGCCCACAGGAAGGAATCCCCAGGGGAAGCAGCCTGACTCCTCAGGCCCTGGTGGGCGAGGAATGGGCCCAGGAAGACCCTCTCGCTGATAAATGCTTGATCAGTGATGGTGAACCTATTAGAACTTGCATTGATAAGAAACAGCTGGAGCATGCGTGCCATAGGTTCATCACTGCTGTACCAAGTGATACGTTTCTTGTTGTTTTCCTTTGTAAGGTAATTATGATGTGCAAAATAGATATGAAGTAGTTTTAGTTACATATGTTTGTGGCTTGCTCAAAGCAAGAATTGGTGTTCGGTTTGACCCTAGCAAGCCCCAAAATGAACTTCTGATTACAAATATTCTGGCTACGAAATGTGGGTTTTCATAGAAGCTGTACACTGAAGACAGACTAAAGAACATCCCTTGATAAAATGAGTGTTTTGAAAACATTTCTCATTGGGCGTGGTGGTGCATACCTATGATCCCAGTGCTCTGGAAGAGTGAGGTAGAAGGGCTGTGAGCCCAAGCCCATCCTGGGCAACTTAATGACTTACAGACCCTATCTCAAAAGAAAACATTTTGAAAAAGCTGGGGCCATAGCCCAGTGCAAAGGCCCTAGTTAAATACTCAGTACTGCAAATGACAAAAATCAGTATGGTTCTGCCATATAAAAAGTCCCTAGAAGTACCCTGTTACCATATGGCTGTTGAACGGTGTGTGTCTGATTTTACTGAGGTGAATACAATGAAATGAGGAGACTGAGGTTAAATAAACCTGGTTTCACAACCTTCTGAGGTCTTTTTCCAACCTATTATGGAATAAGTTACCTTTAAGTATTTACTTTTTCTTTTCTTTTTATTTTATTTTATTTTATTTTATTTATTCGTGTGTGTGTGTGTGTGTGTGTGTGTGTGGCCAGCTCAGCCCACCAGGGGGCGGGGCTGGCTGGCATGTGGTGCTGGGGATTGAACCGTGGTCCCTGTGCTTTGCTTAGCTTGTTCTAGGTAGGTGCTTTAGACCACTGAGCCATCTCACCAGCCCAGTATTTACTTTTTCAACCGGGGCTCATTCAGGTTTATTTTGATGATTAAGTAATACATCATTTGGTCAGGAAAGATAGTTGTCAGCTATTGGCAGTTTATAAACACTGATTCCTTCCTCCCACAGCCTTGTATAGATATGTAAATTTATAGCTGTTCTGCATCTACACACCAAGCCTTATCTTTATGACTCACTTTAATATGTTAATCTTATCATGGGAAGTATAGTACATCCCTCCAATTATAGCTGCTCTATTCTGTGTTAGTTCAAGTACCAGCAATTTAGAATGGATAGGAATCCGGTTGGGGAACCTATCAAACTAATAGATTTCTAGGCCCTGAGATTTAATTCTGTGGCTTTGGGATGAGGCCAGGAAATCTGCATTTTAAATGCAGATGGTCATGGTTGATGATGAAAATTAATAAATGGCAGTTTCTGGGAAGCAGAGAAAGGGATAAATCTGAGACTTGATATGGTGATTTCATACCCTGCTTTGATTGGGAGCATATCTACCCAACAGTTCTATTTGTATCATTCATATTTGTGAATTATATTTGTAGTGAGATTGGAAGCAAATGGATTTCAGTCAATGCTGGGGGTTTTATTGTGCCCCTCTGTTGCTGTCCACAGTATAACCACAGAAATAGAGGGTTTCACACAGCCCCCCAACCAGCTTCTTCTGATGTGGAGTGAGCACTGATACCTTAGTCGTGTGCCCAAAGTTTATAAAACCAGAGCAACTGTACTTGTTAGCAGTAATGCAGTGTATTTAATGATGGCAATACCACAAATCATGCCATTGAAGTATTTTATGTATTTATCTGATTCTGTCTTCTGCTGAATAAACATGTCATTATGTTATTTCCATCATTCTCTGCATCTTACAATTACATAATGTTTCCACTAAGATTCATGTTGTTACCTATCCCAGCTTCATTTTAGGGGAAAAATAATTTATCCTTTTATTTCTTCCTAGTCCTAGCTTTCTAGTTATTCATAACAAAGCTTGATGTATAAGCTTGGTGTGGAGAGCATAAAATACTTGGTTTGTGTGTAATGAATTATGTTTGGTGTAATGGAAACAGTTGAATTATGTTGAAACCTATAATTTCAGCACTCTAGGAAGCTGAGGCAAAAAGATCACATGTTTGAGCCCAGCCTGGGCAATGTAGTGACTGGGTGAGATTCAGGCTCAAAAT